CTAATGTGACAGGTTGTCCAGTCTGCAAATGGGACAGGTTGTCCAGTCTGCAAATAATGACAGGTTGTCCAGTCTGCAAATAATGACAGGTTGTCCAGTCTGCAAATGTGACAGGTTGTCCAGTCTGCAAACATGACAGGTTGTCCAGTCTGCAAACATGACAGGTTATCCAGTCTGCAAACATGACAGGTTGTCCAGTCTGCTTATGTGACAGGTTGTCCAGTCTGCTAATGTGACAGGTTGTCCAGTCTGCTAATGTGACAGGTTGTCCAGTCTGCTAATGTGACAGGTTGTCCAGTCTGCAAATGGGACAGGTTGTCCAGTCTGCTAATGTGACAGGTTGTCCAGTCTGCAAATGGGACAGGTTGTTCAGTCTGCAAATAATGACAGGTTTTCCAGTCTGCAAATAATGACAGGTTTTCCAGTCTGCTAATGTGACAGGTTGTCCAGTCTGCAAATGTGACAGATTGTCTCGTCTGCAAATGTAACAGGTTGTCCAGTCTGCAAACGTAACAGCTTGTCCAGTCTGCAAATGTGACAGGTTGTCCAGTCTGCAAACATGACAGGTTGTCCAGTCTGCAAATGTGACAGGTTGACCATTCTACAAATGTGACAGGTTGTACCGTCGGCAAATGTGACAGATTGTCTCGACTGCAAATGTGACAGGTTGTCCAGTCTGCAAATGTGACAGGTTATCCAGTCTGCAAACGTGACAGGTTGTCCAGTTTGCAAACGTGACGTGATAGGTTGTCCAAATTAAATGTGAGAGTTTGTTCAAACTGCAATGTGATTGGTTGCCCAAACGAGAACACAGTTCAGGTGTCAGCATAAAAGAAAACATGTCAGCCGTCAACATGGAACATTTGCTGTGTTGTCAATGTCAAACTGATTTCAAAACTTCTGATACTGACCAACAAGCTTTCTAAATAATATAAGTAAGTAGTGTACAGCGATGGTGAGTTCACATAGGTTTGGGAATATAAAATAACTTCTCACCCCTTCTTCTTTAACAGTGGAAGCGAAACAATGCCATGTAGACCTGTAGGCATGTGGTGCCACCACTTCAGGTTTTACAGTATGCACCTGGAAAAATACAATGTCAACTACAGTCACTCAGGTAGCCCGAGATGTGTAAATGAAATGACCATTGCATGCAATTAGATACATGTATGGATCTGTACCTTGATTATCTAAACTATTTTACATTACTAGTATTTTAGAGACTAGAGATTGTAGAACGTGCTTCCATAAATTGAATGTAGATATTTACTCAATACGATCAGTAAAGCCTTGCTCTTGCTGAATCTTGTATCTCACACATTTATTGTAAACATGAATAGTTTAGATGTTTATAAATTGACCTCATTTCAAAAGCTTGGCCAGGGTGCAAGATCTACAAATTGCCCAGAATAAAAAGTTCTTCTTTGCCAGGATAGCGCATTAAAATTGCCATTTGATAGAGAGATGGCCACACAGCCCTGTCATGTAGTCCCAAACATGAATATGACTTCTGTGTCAGCACTAGCACTTGCAATTTGCACTTACAAAAAAAAAGTCAGGAGAGACAACAGTGACACTTAATGTCCAGAACTGTCACCTGGCACAAAAACACTGAAAAAAAAAATTTCTTCTTCAACTGGTAAAACATAGCATAACAATTAAAACCTTGCTTTTTGAGAATCAAGATTAAATAACAATTTGGCTTCAGCTTCACATAAACAAACACCTGGCTTCTCTACAACGTGGCATCAGCTTCATTTACGCTTCAACTCAGTGTCATGTCAGCCTTGCTACAGCAAGTGTCATGTCACTTGCAACGCTGAAAGTTTTTTGATCAAAATGGTGTTTTAATAGTGAAGTGTTGTATTTCCTGGAAACTAGATAAAGTTGATTCTGAATGCTGTTTGATTTATTGCTCACATGGGATTATTTGAGAACGCAACTTGAACTGTGACACCACATGTGATTCAGATAATTGTAATTTGTATTGTTGATTTCGGTTAAAAATAATATGAAGCGTAGTATTTTTTGTGTGTGTGTACTAGACATCGTTGTCGTAACTCAGCTTTGAAACCGCTGTGGTGACCACTTTAACTTTAAAACACCGGGACTGTCAAAATTATTATTGATCAACTTGAAGCTAAGTATACATCAACAGTACGCAAAAAAAGAAAAACCCAGGCATCGTGTCGATTTACAATCTTACAATTATATTTTTTACTTTTACAAATATCGTTCCACATTAGGCAAAAATCTATGTAAAGTCAGAATATTGTTGAAAATAAAATATTACTTTAACATTTCCATCAAATCTGAGTGAAGGCGATCCCACATTGTGGCGAAACTGCTTTTTATTTACGTGAAGCGATGCTGTAGCGAAAATTATCCCCGATGTTTGCTTGGATTTCAATAAATGGCGCCCTCTGGAGACTGACACAATCTGCGGCAATCTTTTTTCACTTGCACGTGATTGATGTACAATGTCAGTATATACAGTATATGCTATGTTTTCAGTGTTCACATTTAGGCGATGGCCATTAAAAACCTGGATTAATGAATATTTTAATGAATTTTAATTACAGAATTTGTTTCTTTAAACAAGTTATAAACAAGAGTTGGCTGAGCCATCTCAACGCTGGGAATTCAGATTGCATGGACATTACTGTCTGATTAAAATATTAGAAATACAAGGGAAAATGCCCAACAAGTTGAATATAGCTAATACAGGGTGTGTTATCCACATTTTGAGGAAGAATTTTGAAGTCAATTCAAGGTTAAATGTTACTGGTATATAATATTCACGTGTTCAGAACAGGGACTGTTCTACAGTTTGATTATCAAATTTAGGTCACTGTCATTGTGGTTTGTCAGATGTGCACATCTTTAGTGAAATTTCTCCAGTTTAAGAGGCCAGGTGAAGCAACCTCAAGACAGCGACCGGTGGAGTAAGGTGGCAACAGTTTTACTAATGTTAATGGTGTCAGGTTTCACCTATTTATTATAGAGTGACAAAACAATTTCATATAAATATATAAAAATTAGTACAAAACATTAACAATAAATAACTATTTTGGAGAATCCAAAATGCCTAATTATTGCATTAATTAGATATTTAATGTACATTAGAAAAACAAAACAAAATTTAGTAAACAAAGCAAA